GATCGTCCATTAATTCTACTCATCATTTTCCAGTCTGCGCTTAATTGAGCGTGCATGGATCGTGTTGAAAGGCGGTTGGTTTGAATTGATGGCTGATCCCTCGCTTAGTTGTCTCACCAGCTTTATTATATTCCTATAATCTTTCCTATAACTCTCAAAATAACATCATATTGTTGTTTTTTGTTGTGATAACATCACATTTCCCATGAATAATTCACAAATTATTTTTGACATTATTTGTGAGTGCGGACAACAAATAAATGCTTACAGATCATATTCTACAAAATTGCTTTTGTAAAATTGAACTTAGAATTTTCAAAAAAGGAACATAAAAATGAATTTTTTGACAAATTCAAACTTGGACGGACAAGATAAAAAGTTTGAAAGCAATCAAAAACAGCAAAGGCACATCAAACTATTGAAGATAACAGACAGGAATGCGATGTGGAGAAGGTAATGATGTGGACTAAATGTGATTGATGACGTGGATGATGATTTGTGAGCTAACAATATTGCGTGTAATGAGGTGTTATGCTACACATCACTGAACATAGCGTCAAATTGCTGCCGATATGCGGAATGATTGTTGTCTTCAATGCTTTTTATAACCTATTTTATGGCGATGACGCTATGTAAAAATGTTTGCTCTGCTTCTTTGCCTTCTGCTTTTGTGGTGTTCTCATGTTATGATATCAATCTTTGTTGCAGTTGGCTAACAATGTATTGATGTTGGTTTTGTTCAGCTTTATAATATATTTCTAATCCATTTCTAATTCTTTTTACATATAGTTATGTTGTTTCCAATTGAATTTCTTGTTTGATGATATTTATATTTCAGCATCTCATAAGTTTCTATCATTGTTAAATTATTTTAACATTAATTTTAATGTTATTTGGTTTGTTATTCGTGAAAACTCAATTTTTGTTGTTGTGAGTGTTGGCAACCTCGACAACATAATCTTCAAGGGCCGTTTTTCAGAAAAGATTTGGAGAAATGTAGAAATTATTTATGATTAAATAATATTTTTACTTTTTATTTTTAATCAAATCGACAAAATTATTATTCTTGAAATAATTGTTTATATCGTTTATGATTAAGCAAATTTTCTAAGTTTATGTTAAGAAAAACTTTAAAAAAATGAAAAAAAAAAATTTGAACTGGTTTGAAAATGTTGAAGCAGATTTATTGGGATGTACTTCTCTTTCATCTTTTAATTTCATCCAGACATTATTATACATTAAAGAAATCGATCCGTAAATGTGTTGAAAAATTATGTTATGAAAAAAAATAGAAAAATTTATTGATTTCACTCTTGGCGATGTTTCGCTATTTTGTTATACAAGTAGGCATGACATGTTCGATCAAAATATTTTTCATAAATATTTAATATTAAATTATATTTAATTGTATCTTTTTAAATTTTAGTTTAATTATTAATATATATATATATATAAATATTTATTAATATAATATTTATTCATTCATTCATTTATTAATGTGCATTTTATAATGGAGTTTCTGGTTGTAGTAAATAAATAGAAAGAATAATTTGATTGATAGTGTGATTGACTGATGGATGACTGACTGATTGATTGTGTGCGTTCGAAACTGAACACACTCACCCTCCATAAATAATTAAATAGTTTAAATGAATGATGAGGATGATTGATTGAAATGACGGAAGAAATATTTTATTGAATTTTCAATTTCCTCCCATTATGCTGAATTATATTCTGACTTACTGGCTGAACTGCCAGCATTAATTAACATTGTCAATCGTTCGCTTTTTTCCGATACTTTTTATGGACATGAGAAATAATTATTTATACATTTTTTACGTTTTTATTGTTACTATAACTATGACCAACCAACTAATAAATATTTTAAAAGAAATATGTGTGTGAGTGTCAGTGTGTGTTTGTGTGTGTGGTGCGTGGTGTGTGTGTGTGTGGTGCGTGGTGTGTGTGTGTATCTATATGCATAAAGTATCGGCGGATTCGGGGGGAAGAATAAAAATGCACATTCCTAATGGGACGAGACAAAATTTATAAAAATGGTGATAATGAGATTTTAAAGTTTTTGTTTGAAAATTAATTTTTATGCTGTTTAATAAGTTGGTGTATAAA